ATTTTCTCAGTCCCTTTTGCAGCCAAGGATGGCCACGTTCTTTAGTTCTGCCCAATGAGACATGAACAGATGTCCCCTGGAGAAGTTCTGGGACAGATGCCACTGCCCTGGCCCTTTTTCCTTCTTCATGCCGTGAAAGTGGAGCTGAAGGTTGGATTGGCAGCTTTTCGGGAGATGTTTTCACCCTAAGCCTCATTCCTTGTGTTTTCTGCACAGGGACTTCAGAGCCCCAAACTTTCGTGTCTGTGGAGTTGACACAGTTGTCCCCTGATGACTTCTCCATGTTTTCTTCCTTTTTGTGTTTTTATTTCCTTTCCCCCATGCTCCGATTTACGCAGGACCTGGGGTGCACTCACGTGCCTAAGCCGTCGGCTTGAACCCGAATCCCAACCACTTGTGCAAATGCTATCTCACCAGAATACAAAGCATCGCCTTTGTAGAGCTTTTAGGAATAACAGATTTTCATTTGCCTGTATAGAAATAAACTAAAACTGAAAGAATGCGTGAAAATTTCGAAGCTGAACATTTCCTTTAGCGGCATCTTTCCGGATGCTAAATCTATCCTAGCGCTTCCCTACAGAGAGGCTTCCACAGCATCTTAATGACAATTACATTTGTAGTTGAAGCACTGAGAGGTCTAGAAACTTACTCCAAGTTACCCAGATGTTAGTGGAGAGTCAGGACTCAAATGCAGACAGTTTGTGTATGTTTCTTCTAAAAGGTACGCCTGAGATTTGTAACCTGTGCTGTCTTTTTCCTCTTACTGATTTTTATTAGGGGAACACATGCACACAGTAAATCATTTGAAAGGTTTAAGCAGCTCACGGTGCATACAGTTTCTCTCTGCCCCCATCCTAAAGTCACTAGCTTTCCTTCCAGGAAGGAAGCACATTTGTCTCCTTCCAGAGATAGCTTATGCATTTACAAGCAAATCTGTATTCAGTTTTCGCTGTTTATGCTGATGATAGCATACCTTTCCCCACTGCGGTTTTTTCCCCCCCTCTGAACAGTATATCTTTAAGATTAACATCAGAACATCCTTTTCATTGCTACACGGGGTCTGTATGCCAGGATGCCCCCGTAAGGTGCAGCGTTAACTGTATTATTGGGTCATCTACTGTAGAGAAGCTTGAAGTTCTATGGAGTTCTGTGCTTCTAGGGATCATAAGTCAAATTTCTAAAGATAACCCTCTCGTGGACATTTCTGTTTTAAGACCAATGCCATATGACTCAGTGTCATGTGAATCTAGTTGCTTCGCGAGGCAGTTTCTCTTTCTTACTACTTCCCTCATTTGAGGCCACCCAATAGCTAACACTACTTCAAATGTCACCATCTTACCAGAGTTTCTACTGACCTCTTAGAAAGAATGAAGTCAATTAAAGTATCTTATGAGACATATGTACATCCATAAGCCTCTCCTCTCCTTGTCTCTAATCTTCCAGTTCTTTTCCCTCTAGGCCCTTGGGTAGGTCATTAGGCACTTCTCAGGAATGAATGAATGATGGATGAACGAGTGAATGAGTGAATGAATGGATGAACGAGTGAATGAATCTACATAGATAAATTTCTACTTCTCCTTCCCCACAAAGTGGATGAGAAGGAGCCCCACTCACAGCCCCACTGTCTTTGAGGGACACCCCTGGGCGTGGCTGGAATGCAGCTGCCACCCATTTTCAGCTTGTACTCAAATACCAAATTGACCCTCCCATAAACCAAACTCAGCCTGTACCTCCTCCTCCATATGGTTTTTGATTTAATATTTTATCTAGGGTTGGGGAGGGCACTTGTAGAAGTTTCTCCTTGGCCTTCCCACTGCGATAGCGCTTACCCTAAGACCTGGGCTACTTCAACGTTAATAAATTAGAACGATGAGAAAGAACTAGCAACGGGAACTGAGAAGGACCATTTCAAGAAGAAAGCGATCATCTATGAGATGTATAACCTCAGTCTAATCACGAAACACTGGACAAACCGAAATCGAGAGAATCTACGAAACAGTAGCCCTGTCCTCTTCAGAAATGTCAAGGTCATGAAAAGCTGAGGAGCTTTTCCAGATTAAGGGAGGCCAAAGAGATGTGCAACGTGACTGCAGTGCGTGGTCCTAGACTGGATCCTGGTCTGGGAAAAGAAAATGTACCCCTATAAATGACATCATTGGGACAGTTGATGAAATTTGAATATGAACCGAGGACAAGATGATAGTATTGTGTAAATTTTCATTGTCGAGAACGTTTTTGTTCTTAGAAAACACACGGAAGCGTTTATGGGTTAAGGAACATGGTGTCTTCGGATTATGCTCCGATGATTCAAAGTTTAAATTTGATAATTTGGAGAAAGCGCTGTGATGACACTGCTCTCCACGACTTTCGGTGCACGTGGCTACATGTCTCTGTCGAGTGGGAATGGCGGGGTTCACGCCCCCACCTGCGCGGCGTGACGGTGCCGGTTCCCTCCACAGTTTGCCTCTTCGCTCCCTTAATGCCATTTCCCACCCCACTATTCTGTTTGGAAATTTTCAAACTGACTGAAAAGGTGAAAGAATTTTACAGTAACACCTATTAGCCACACGTCCTCGATTCTACAATTGACACGTCGCTATGTTTGCTTTATGACATATCTGTCCAGCAAAAGCCATCCGTCCAGCCACATTTTTTTTTCTCGTTTCAAAATAAGTTGCAGACATCAGACTAGTTCAGCCCTCAAAGCTTCGGCGTGCACGTCATTGGCTGCGGTTCAATATTTCTTTATGTTTTTTTTTCTTTTTAATGTTGAGGTCGAGTTCATATACACTTAAATGTGCTGGATGAGTTTTAACAAATACATACACCTGTGTCACCCAAACCCCCACCATGATATTCATCACCGGCATCCCAGAAAGTTCTCTCATTCCCCTTCGCAGCCTACCCTTTCCCATCCCATCAGAGGCAGCTACTGTTTTAATTTTTTCACTGTAGTTTTGCTTGTTCTGACACCTCATAAATCGTGTCATATAATATACACGACTGTGCGTAAAGCTTCTTTCACTAACATAATGCTTTTGAGATTCAGCCATGCTGCTGCATGTAGCGGCGGATCAGCCCTTCATCGCTGAGCGGGATCCCATTATATGGATGTACTACAAGTGATTTATGTCTTGTCCTTCGATGATCACCTGTGCCGTTGCCACTTTTCAGCTATTACGGATAAAGCTGGCGTGAACATTCGTGTGCAAGCCTTTTTTTTTTTGCGGGCATATGTTCTCTTTCCTCTTGGGTGAAAATCTAGGAGTCAGATGGCTGGGACATAAGGTAAATGTGTGTTTAACTTTATATGAGAAATTGCCAAACTGTTTTCCACAGCAGCTACAGCATTTAGCGTTCCCACTGGTAGTGTGTGAGGAGTCCAATGCTTGCTATCGTGTCTTTTCATTTTAGTCTTCCTAGTGGGTGTGTAGTGGTATCCTGTTGTGGTTTTAATTTGTATCTCCCCCGATTACAGTGGCGCTGAGCATTTTTTCTTGGGCTTCCTGACTTTTCATATGTCCTCTGTGGTGAAGAGTCTATTCGAATCTATTGTCCATTTTTTTTTATTGAGTTTGTAAGAGTTTTTTGTTTTTTTGGGTTTTTTTTTTTTTTTTTTTTAAGTTCTGGACACAGGTCTTGTGTCAGATGGAAGTACTGCAGATTTTGACTCTCAGACCGTGCCATGCTTTTCCGGTTTCTCAACTATCTTTTGCTGAGTTTTTAGTTTTGCTAAAGTCAGTTGTTTGCTTTTGTGATTATTGCTCTCTGTGTCTACTGAACCTTTGCCTGCCTCAGTGAAATTTTTCAATGAACAGCTGTTCTTAATTTTAAAGTATTTACCTTTTTAGTTTTCATTTAATAGTTAGGATCGTTTATGTCATATGTCATGAAGATATGCCATTTTCTTCTAAAAGCATGGTTCATTTACCTTTCGTATTTGGAGCTGCGATCCATCTGGAATTGGTTTGCGTGTATAAAACAAGCTGGGAATCCACATTTATTTTTCCCGTATGCACAGCTGATTGATCTAGCACCATTTATTACAAAGACTGTACTTTCGCCACAGCACTGCAGTGTGTCACCTGTATCAGAAACCAGCTGACCATGTATGTGTGTGCGTCTGTTTCTACACTTTCTAGTCTGTTACACTGGTCTTTTTCATAAAGAGGTCTTGCTATCTAGTAGCGTAAGTTGTCCAGCTTTGCTGTCATCAAGACGGTGGGGGTGGGGAAGGGGTCAGTGGAGATGTCATCTTGGGCCGGTGGGCGACCTATGGTGATGTCCACTAGAGGTCGCTGCTTGGTTTCAGGTCGTATTATTGTTAACACGGGCCAGGGTCTGGTCCTAAGTTCCGAACTCTCCAGTCCAAAGAGAACTCGTTTGTAGCCTAAGAGAGGATTCGTGAGAAACTGACGCTAACCCGAATCCCCTTCACTGCTGTATGACGCAGAGTATTAAGAAGTAAAGAAGGAGGAGAGCTACTGCCTCTCACGCCCACCAGTGCTCCTGTTTGGAATGGCAAAGGCCATTGTCATCTGTGCTCAGTTCTCCCTTTTACTGGCACACGCCTACTGCAGTTGTCCCCTCTGCCTCTCCCGTTAGGAATTACTTCCACCCTGGGTCTTTGCTGTGGAGTGTGTGCATTTGTGTGTGTGTGTGTGTGTGCGTGCGCACCGTGTAGCTACACGGCCCCTTCCCAGGAACCCTCGGGTCCCAGTGTGCATTAGAAGTCGGCATTTTTCAAATCGTATTATATTTGATGTAATTCCCCCAGCAGGATCCAGGGCAGCACCCTGCAAATCAAACACGTTAATATTTCTGCGGCTAAGTGTATAAACATGTCTATTAAGTGGGCTAAATAAAGCTCACGAACAGCTTCACATCGATTCAAATGAGATCGGATGCCAAACTGATGGAATAACTGTGGTTTGCAGGTTTTAGAAGTGCAGCTACAGACTGTTTGTTTCATGCACTGCTCTATTGTTTTGACCTCACAGGCCGTGTCACACCAGCTGAATGCTGTGACCGAGGACATGTACACCAATGGGTCTGCTGCCACAGGTAGCCCTGCCCAGGCGAAGGGGCAGGAGGTGCGAAAGGTGCGACTCATACAGTTCGAGAAGGTCACAGAGGAACCCATGGTAATTCCTTGTCATATTTTCATCGCTGCTTGCTCTCGACCTTATGAGTCACTGTGCCACAAGAGAGTCAGAAGGCTGCTCGTGCAGTAGCAAAGCAGCCAGCTCTCATATTGTCTCTGTCTCCAGCTCCCGCCCCTCCTCGGAGAAGGCTTCATGCCCGTTCTAGTTGAGGACCACCCCGAGGATAGACAGGAAACATTTTTCCTGAGAAATTACCTTCAGTTGTCTTTATTGCAGGGAATCACTCTGAAGCTGAATGAAAAGCAGTCGTGTACGGTGGCAAGAATTCTTCACGGTGGCATGATTCACAGACAAGGTACTCTGTCGGGGGCCCTAGGCTGCGTTTCATTCACCTCAGTGGCAAGGGACGTGAAGCTCATAATCTTCAAAACTGGGAGCATTTGTGCGTGTGTGCCTAGAGATTTGATCGTGGCTTAATAACTGCCTCGTTAGGATAATTGTGTGATGAATCTTCGTAGGAATTGCCCGCTGCCACTATCTCTCCCTCTGAGCATTTCTCATGTGTTTTCAGTTAGTTCATATTTGACCAATTACTATATGTGGCCCATCGCATTAGACTTTGAATACGCAGTAGCAAAGAAAACAGACCACCTCCGCCTCCTGGGGCCAACAGTTAAATTGAGGGAATAGACACTAAACATTTCCTACCCCGTTGGCTCCTACCCTTTTATGTTGAGTTTTGCGTCTAGAGTGGCACAAATATTGGTTAGCGCTCTTCACATAGACTCGACACATTGATGAAGTTTACCATTAGGTAGCATTTTAGGGTCTCAGCTAAACTACAACGGAAAAGAAATGGGGAACTCCTTTGTCTTGCTTTGTTATTCTTCTTAGTATGTGCAGGTGTGTCATACTCCCCTGGGATCTGTAACTACTCTAGCTCCAGGGAACTTTGAGGATGAGGTGCTTTTACTGTGCTATCAGTGTCCCAAGGTCAGGGAGGACGAGATAGTCTCAAACTGTGAAGCCTCGATGCGTCCCTCAGGGGACTCAAGAGAGCATTCATGGTCGCACAGTGTCAGTCCCGAGTATTTTACACACGATCTATTGTATAATATTCCCTAGATCGTGGTTCCTTTCTGTGGTATCTCGAGTTACATTGGCAGCTCTCGTTTGGACATTTACTCTTTTGTGGACTGATTTTCCATTTCGTGGTAGGCTCCCTTCACGTTGGGGATGAGATCCTAGAAATCAATGGCACGAACGTGACTAATCACTCAGTAGATCAGCTGCAGAAGGCAATGGTGGGTATTTTCTATGTCATTCTTTGCGTGAAATGTGGATGTACACTGGTGTCAGCATACCTCACTTTTCTGTCAAAGTATTTGTACCCCATTGAGGAAACTATTATCATTGGTAATCTTTATTCTGTGCAAGAAATGAGAGTTCTCTGCTATTATTAAGTAAACTTCTAAAACAAGGCAAATAGCCCAGAGCATCTATCTAGAAAGAACATTGGACTGGGTGTCAGAAGGCCTTGGTGTGTAATGGCATCTCTGAATCCCTGCTCTACTTTATTCTAGCCCTGTGATTTTGAGCAGGTGAATTAACTTGTCTAAATCATCTGCAAAATTAAGATAGTAATCCCTATTCTTATGTCACAGGTTTGTTGCGAAGAGCAAATGGGGTATTATAATGTAAAGTGAAGTGTGTTGTTTAGAGTCAGTCGATATTTGTTGAGCACCTACTATATGCCAGGCATTGCGCTTAGCATTTGAGCTAGCTGTACTGTTTTGCCCCTCAAGATTCTTCACCATCCTTCTCCGCCCCTACACACACCACAGATCATTCTTTTAACCGAAGCATTAAAAAGCCCTGGAGTATTGGGTGTAATTGGCCACCACTGGCAGGTGCCACACCGCAGACACTCAGCAGTGAGATGCTAGGGTACCTGTCAAAGAATGAACCGCAGACTAGCAACTCAGGAAAAAGTGTCATCTGAACCAAAATCTGGTCTCTCACTTGAGATATAGCTGAGGAAACTGAACCCTAAAGAGTTTTGAAACCTGCCCACAGTCACATAGCTATTTAAGGATACACCTGGGATTTGCTTTAATCAAAACTCTTTGCTTAGATTTCTGCCTCTGACCAAGATGAAGAACAGGGACTGTATTTACCCTGCCTCTTGAAATGACCCAAATCTTAAATGTCCATGCACCTAACGCCAGAGCTTCAAAATACTTGAAGCAAAAACTGGTAGAACTGCAAGAAGAAAAATACAAATCCACGATTATAGTCAGAGATGTCACTATCTTTCTCTTAATAATTGAAGAACAAGTAGGCATAAAATAAGCGAGGATATAGAAGATGCAAAGAACACTATAAAGCAACTTGACCTAACGGACATCTACAGAACACTCAACCCAGCAAAGTGTGTTGTCTGTCCACAATGAAATAAAATTAGAAATCAAAGACAGAATGATATCTGGAAATCCCTAAATATTGTAAATTAAATAACACACTTCTAAATAAGCCATAGGCCACAAGAAAAATCACAAGGGAAATTAGAAAATATCTCGAAGTGAGTAAAAATGGAAACTCGGTGTATCAGAGTTCGTGGCATTGCCACTAAGGCACTGTCAAAGCACAAGTTTAGAGCACAAAATGCCTATATTAGAAAACAAGAAAGATCTCGATCAGCGGCCTCGGCTTCAGCCTTAAGAAACTAGAAGGGCATAATTGACAAAATAAAGGCCAAAAAAAACCATATGATCATCTCAATATATGCAGAAAAAACTTTTGACAAAATTCAACCTCCTTCATTATAAAAATTCTCAACACGACAGGTATAGAAGGAACATATTTTGACATAATAAAGGCCGCATATGACAGACCCACAGTTAGCATACTCAATGGCGAAAAGCTGGAAGCTTTATCTTGAAGATCAGGAACAAAAGAGTAGAATAGCTATTTTTTGGAAAAGTAATTTGTGGATAGCTATTAAAATGTTCTTACCCTTTGATTTCCACTATGGGATTCTATTTTATAAAAACCAAAATGCATGTATATAATGACATATGTTCAAGGATATCTATTGCAGTGGATTGTAGTGAAAAAAATAAACTAGCACCAATCTCAGTGCCGTGGAATGGGGAGGATGGCTGAATAAAGCATGCTACATCCATAGCCAAAATTGCATATATTGTGTGTGCGTGCATGTGCATGTGCGTGTGTGTGTGTGTGTATATATATATGTGCGTGTAAATATTTGCAAATGTTTTTACGGGTGTAGAGAAAGGCATGGATATATGTGGGTTCATTTTAGGTACTTCCGGGGACCTTTTGTGCTCCAGAGTGGGGAGGAGGAGAAATGATTTGCTTCGTCTTCATCATTCTGTATACGGCTCCATGTCGTTATGCTGGTTTATGGAGCCCATGACACTCGCTTTGAAAGGGGAACTGTCCTACAGTATTTCAAAGTGTACAGTAAAGGTGGCTGATGGGGAAAAAGGTACATGGGACTTTGAGAGGAGAAAAATGAGTTTATGAAACCTCAACTCGTCCAAATTAGTTTTCCTTAAAATTTATTCCTCCCCACCACTTTTTTTTTTTGACTAGAAAGAAACCAAAGGAATGATCTCACTAAAAGTAATTCCCAACCAGCAAAATCGTCTTCCTGCTCTCCAGGTAGGTAGTGCTATTTTCTCTGTTGCAACGATGGCAGAATATTCAGGCTCAGTGTTGAGGTCTGATTGAAGTGATGTGACTCTAATTTTTATGTTCGAAGTGTCTCACAAATGGAGCTGCCAGATGCTCTCTAACTAAACCAGCATCCATTACAAACAGGCAGGCCTTCTTTCTGACTCCCAGCATGGCTGGTACTTTGCTGCCTATTTGTAATGAATGAGAAAGGAAAGGCCAATCTCCTGATCCTACAACGCAAGAGGAAAATGGGCAAAGAGAATGAAGAGGTCATTCACAAGACGAAAAATACGAATGGCTTCGAACATATGAAAAAATATCCAATCTTACCGGTCATCAAAGAGAGACATAGTCTGGACAGGGCTTTGGCAGATGAATGTAGAAAAAGGGGGGGTTGTTTGTTTGTTTGTTTGTTTTAAAGAACTGAAGTTTCAGACGTGGTCCCATAGCGTAGCGGTGAGCACGTCTGCTTTACACACAGAAGGTCGTGGGTTCACACCCCAGTGGAGCCACGATCCATGGTCTATGGCCGTGCCACCCTGAACAAGCCCGATGTCTGATCTCGGAAGCTAAGCAGGGTCGGGCCTGGTTAGTACTTGGATGGGAGACCACCCAGGAAGACCAGGTGCTGGAGGCATAAATAATAATAATAAATAAATAAATAACTGAAGTTTCTGTTGCAGATGACTTTAATAACAGGCTCAGGGTCTATAATAGATATGTATGTGTTCACGTTTTCAATTTCTTGCTGTGTCACTTTTGGTAAATTGTATTTTTCAAGGGATTTGTCAAATGTATTGATGTGAAATCGTTCATAAAATCTTAATAACCTTTTACACATCTCTGGGATCTCTGCTGATCTCGACTGGGAAATCGTATCTTCCCTGTTTTCTTTTTTCTTTTTTTTTATTATTCGATATTAGTTTCAGATATATAGCATAGCGGTTGGACATTTATATAATTTATGAAGTGATCCTCCCAATAAATCTAGATGCCATACATAGTTATTACAATATTACTGACTATATTCCCTGTGCTGTACGTCACATCCCCGTGACGATTTTGTAACTACTCATTTGTACTTAATTGTTTTCGGTTTCGTTTGTTCCTGGTCTTTATTATTTCTTTTCTTCTTTCTTTGGGGTGGATTTGTACCCGTCATCTTCCTATCTCAGGTAACCAGTATGAAATTCTGCTATGGCTTCTTCCAGTCTTTTATTTTCCTATGTATGAATAAATACTTTTTTAAAATGTCAACTATACTAGGTATTGTTCTTGCTTAATGATATTCTTATTTAGTGATCTATCAGCAGCATTTTGCAGAAGCATAAAATATTCTTTTACAAGCTGATTTTTATAGGCACAGGTTTATATATTCAGTAGATGGCCATAACTTAACCGAATTTCCCATTTTTGGAAAATTAAGTCATTTCCAATAGTTTACTGTTCAGTAACACTGTAGTGAACATATTTATCCATACACCGTAACTGACAACTTTTGCCTAGAAGTGGTTTGTGGGGCCAAAAGGTATCAGCTCAGACCCAATAACCACAAACATGTTGACGTGGAAAGGCGTTTCGTACCTTCTCGTTGCAGGGCTCGGGTCTGACTCCTCCACAGATACAGCAGTAACCAGTTCCGCTCACTTCCGCTCCCCTTCCGTTCTCACCTCCATGGTATTCATTCGATCCTGACCCTACTTATTTACAGTAGAACTTCCTACTTCAATGTGCTGATGCTGGTGTTTCTCTTGAAGCTGCCACCGCAGATCCCCTCGCCTTCTTTTACAGATGTTCATGAGAGCACAGTTTGACTATGATCCCAAAAAGGACAATCTGATTCCTTGCAAGGAGGCTGGACTGAAGTTTGTTACTGGGGACATTATCCAGATCATCAACAAGGATGACAGTAACTGGTGGCAAGGGCGAGTGGAAGGCTCTGCCAAGGAGTCAGCAGGATTGATCCCTTCTCCTGAGCTGCAGGAATGGTGAGCCGCTTTTATATAGGTGGAATTTGCAGACGGAACAGACCTATGCCGGCCACAAATCGTGGCTTAGGTTCAAAGCTGTGTCACCTTGCATGTAGTTTCTGTGGCTCCGCTAAGCCAACCTCCCAGCTTCCCTGGCATAATGGGTGGGAGGGGCAATGGCGAGTTGATAAGCTTGGCTGACAGGCCTTTATGGGAGAAGGAGCTAGAATAGCTCTTGTTCGCCTGCGGGCCTCTGTTTCCTCAAAAGCAAGTGGTTACTTGCTCTGAGTGGCAGCACTGGGGGTGGAGTCTTTCCTGGTCTCCCGCGTCCCAGGCTAGTGGCTTTCTGAGAAGATATCTTCTGAATCCTGAAGAAAACAGTCAACTTTGAAATATGTGTCCTTTATGCAAATTCCCAGTACATAGAACATGAGGTGGGAATCCACATTCGTTTTTCCCATACGTTCGTCTGATTGATCCAGCACCATTTATTACAAAGAGTACGCTTGCCCTACTGCACTGCAGCGTCACCTGTATCAGAAATGAGCTGAGAGAGGTGGGTGCCAACTGCCATCCAGACTAATGCAGGGGCGTCTTCCCAGGGCTCGCCCGCCCCGCCTCTCTGGAGAGTCCTCATGTGGGTGTTCAAATACCTGGCAGTGGAAATGTGTCCACATCCTCCAATCAGTGCGGCCCGACCCTCCCAGCCGGGTTCTTTCCAAGTCCCTCTTTGCAAGGCCCTTGTGCAGTCCTGAGAATGTAGTGTATGCAGTTGGCTCACGTGATTCTTCCCTCGCTTCCTCCCTACCGGTCTGAACCCTGCTCATCACAGACCCAGAACCGGCTACACGCAAGAGAGGCTGAGACAAGGGGAGGGGCGGAGGAGTAGAGGGGGAGAGAGAGAGGAAGAGACAGGGAAGTCGAAGGGGTGTTGGCAGAGGCCCCGAGAGTGAGAGGCTTCTTAGAAAGAGCAGGGATATGAGAGATTGAAGATGAGCGAGGATAGGTTGTGAGCGGGAGGGTGAGAGACTCATACAGACACCAAAAAAGAAAGACGAGCTGAGAGACCGAGGGGCGTCTAAGAGAGAGACACAGAGAAAGCGAGGGGCCGAGATGTGACGGGGAGAGGATGAATGTGAAGGGGGCGTGTTAGAGACGCACAGAGTATGAGTGGCTGGCAGAAGGCATGAGAGACAAGGAGAGGGGTCAAGGACAACACGAAGGTTTTTGGCAAGTGCAAAGGGAAGAAGGCCGATCGGTGCAGAGGTGTAGCGTAAAAGCAAAAGGAGGTCACCAAACCCTGTCACGGCATTTGACATCGAGGGTCCGCTGACATCCTTGGTCATCTTTTCCTACCAGGCGAGTGGCCAGTGTGGCTCAGTCTGCTCCAAGCGAAGCCCCAAGCTGCAGTCCCTTCGGGAAGAAGAAGAAGTACAAAGACAAGTACCTGGCCAAGCACAGCTCAAGTAAGCCTCCTGGGTGTCCTGTACGCCGGCTCCTGGCGGCAAAGGACAGGGGGTATGGTGTGCAGTGGAACATGCATGATGCAGAAAACATACCATTCCTTCTGGTTTCCTTTTATTACATTCAACTTCCCAATGCCAATACATTATAAGGGAAGGCTAGTGGTCTGCCTGCACCTGCTCATCATCTTCGCCCCTCAGGTAACCAACCCGCCCGCCTTCCAGACCTTTCTCAGTGCATTGCTGCCGTCAGCATGACCAGCTGGAAGATCTCAGCAACCCAGAGCTACATGTTTTACTGAGAACTAATTCTGGCTTTGTTTTTTGTTTTTTGTTTTTTTTTACCTACCATGATTGGAAATACAATATACTAAAATTACAGATGGGTTTTCAAGCAGATGGTAGATTACAAACGAGTGGGAATCTACCACTTGTAAAAAGCCTCCAAGCCGCCAGGAGCGCTCTAGAAAAAACAGGAGCGTGAGAAAATCACAGAACCTGACACGACCTGGCGCAATTTCACCCCAGCTCGAGAAATGAACATCGCTCGGTGTTCTTTGTCCCTAGTTTTTGACCAGTTGGATGTTGTTTCGTACGAGGAAGTGGTTCGGCTCCCTGCCTTCAAGAGGAAGACCCTGGTGCTGATCGGTACGTCCCCATCGCCCCCATGATGCTTTGCGAGTTAGAGTACATTTCTGGCCGCCTCCTTCCAAAAGAGAAAAGACGGTGGGGCAAAACATAAATAAATAAATAAAAGAAGTAAGAGATCTTGGGTTCTCCATAGAGAGCAGATATAAAGAATTTTCTGAGTTCTTACCAATACCCCATCTGGATTCACCCTAAAAGTGACACTAAACCTTACAAGCTCAAAACTGGGTTTTTGCTCTTGGGCTGTCTTTAGAGTTCGAATATGAGTTAGTCGGAAGGTGTGTTTTAGGGTTCCGGTAAGCTTTGCCAGGAAAAACACTGCCTTAAATTCAGTCCTGTTCATGTCGGGGAGCTCAGTGAAGCCAGTGCCCTTAGAAAATCCACAGAAACCACCGCGGTCAGCTCCTGCAGAAGTCACTGTTATGTACTGAGTCCCGACCCTTTGCCCTTGGAAGGAGTCTCCTTCCCCAGCACGAGGGACAAGGGATGCAAGGGCCTGAAGCCCCAAGTCGTCCTATGCTTAAAAGAATGCTCGCACGTGACCCTAGCCCGGAAGCTGTGCCGACTCACTCTTACCTGTTGACGATGTCAGGCTCTGAGACGTGAAAACCTGTACCCTGTTCCTACTCCTGTCCCCTGCGGGAAAGAAATGGAAGCCTTCATTAAAATCATAGCAAGCTGGATTCTCTCTTCCCTAAGTCTTTCTTCTCTCGCTCTGCAGGAGCCAGCGGGGTGGGTCGCAGCCACATTAAAAACATCCTGCTCAGCCGGAACCCGGAGAAGTTCGCGTACCCTGCCCCGTGTAAGTAGCTCTGGGGGCCTTGGAGTACCCCGTTCCACCCGAGATACTGTAGTGGTCTTTTTTGGGGGGAGGGGGAGTGGTTTACTTTAAATGTTTGATTATAAAAACAAAACACAGTTTAGAACACATACAAATTTATACCCATAATCATCGTGACTAACAACGTAACTACGTTGTTTTTTACTCTCTTCCGTGCTGTTCATATACGTAACAGAAGCGGAAGTAAACACCTCTATCCCGCTTTAAAAAATTAAGTGAGTGCTATGTTGTTAAAAACTTCTATTACTATTTTTTGCTTTATAAGATAAGCATTTTCTCATGTGCCTTAATCTCTTCGCGAGTTCTCTTCTCGTCTGCCGAGTGGCTATACTGTCATTTCCCAAGCTATCCAACTATTGACATCTCGGCTACCTCTATTTTCATGAAATGTCTTTCAAATCAAAGCAGCACTTGGGAGAGGCGCACACAGTCTCAGAGTCTGCAGAGTATGGTGGCGTATATTCCCAGGAAGAGATTCTGCTAATCAAAGTAGATAACCGGATTCTAAACCTGAGAGTAGTAGTTTTGTATTCTTTGCTTCTCCGTTTTGCTTTTGGGGACATTGTGACACATGTGGGGGCAGAAAGCAAATGGCCCTGGGTTGAAGGGTGAATGAAACCTAGAAGTAGAAATAACCAGGACAGGCTTGTCATTCAGTACGTTTGAATGAGAAGAATTGTTTTATAAGATGAGACGAAAGAGATGCATGTGCGGTTGGGGATTGAGGAGCATGATGAAGATGAAGATGAAGATGGAAAGCGAGAGAGGTCCAGTGGTGTGGGGGCGGGGAGGTTTGTGTCTCCAGCTACAATATCGGAGTCTGGCTTCCTTAGAGGCCGGTTTATACGAGCAGCAGTAAATGTCGTGACTTAGGAACATCCCAACATTTAACAATACGAGTTTCAATGAAACCAAAGCCGTCTTCTTTCCAAGCCAGGACAAGAAAACTTTAAATATACTTCCAAGAATACAGCCCATCCATTCTGTTTTAAAAATACTTCTCGCTGTTACTTCTCCATTTTTCGAGCTCTCGTGTTCCTGGAGCTGGCAGTTTGAGAGATGTAACTCACATTAGGGAAAATGACGATAGGAATTTTGCGTGTTGGGCTTTGCTTCTTGAAGGTTGAACATGTTCTGAGCCGCATCGTCTCGTGTCATCAGCCCTTAAAGATCCCGTGGGAGAAAACCCACTATTAAACTCTCTGCACCAAAGGCAGCTAGAGTCTCGGTCCTTGCGAGGACCCTGAGTTTGTCAGGGGCTTGGGTTCTCGTGCACAGATACGACACGGCCACCCAAGAAGAGTGAGGAAGACGGGAAGGAGTACCACTTCATCTCCACGGAGGAGATGACCAGGGGCATCTCCGCCAACGAGTTCTTGGAGTTTGGCAGCTACCAGGGCAACATGTTTGGCACCAAATTCGAAACAGTGCACCAGATCCATCAGCAGGGCAAGATTGCCATCGTCGACATCGAGCCCCAGGTGCGTAGGCCTGGAAGATCAGGAGCGGACGGGGCAGGGGGCGCTGGGTTGCAAAGCTCGTGGGAATCTCTGGGGAGCTCAGATTTGTTTCATATGCGTTCGGTGGGGTCATCTGGAACATGGACAGTGCTACCAGAAACACTGGAGATAGCACTGGGCTTGGTGAAGGCCAGAGATGCTTCTTAGGAGGACTGCGCCATGACGACGAAGTATTTTTTTTTTAAATCTGTTCTTCCTTCCTTCCTCCCTCCCCTTCCTCCTTTTCTAGACCCTGAAGATTGTTCGGACGGCGGAACTCTCACCTTTCATCGTGTTCATCGCACCTACGGACCAGGGAACTCAGGTAGGAAGGAGCGAGTGTGCAGGGTGGGTGGGGGTCCACACCCTGGGCCTGCGCAGACGGGGACATCAGCCCAGATCGCTGGCCAGAGTGCTGGCTGGGGCTCAGCTTCAGCTTGTGACCGAGTGTCCCATGAGTCTCCTGGCTACTGCTGTCCTTCCTGCGAGGCCACGAAGCCAAAGGGCAGACACGCATTCGATTCACTCAGCAGACACTTATTAAAGCACTGGCTAGGCCAGCGACCATGGGGACACGGTCATTGTTCCGGAAGTGCTCGGGGCACAGTGGCAGAGATGGACAGTTGGGTAAATCTTGACACTCTGGTGCGACGTGGGATCAATCAAGTAGGACTGAGAAGGGGACAGCACTGGGCCCCCCCGGGGGGTGTGTGCCCATGGGAGAGGAGAGCAAGGAGGCCAGGAACATACTGGTCTCCCTACTCCCACTGCCATCGCTACCCGCTCCACACCCACCCTACACACGCTTTGCCGCACCCCGCTTTTTCGCCCAGCACCATGGAGATCTCCTGTGTCACTGTGTAGAGAGCTTTTTATGTCTTAGCTGCACGCTCTCCCATTGCGCGGACGTAGCATGATTATTTACTATCACTATTGCCCTCTGGATGGCTAGTTGGGTTGTTTTAAAACTTGGACTATTATAAATAATACTGCAACCGACGGCCCTGTACATAGGGCATTTGCCAGGTGCGCAGATATATCTGTAGGGAA